CTGCGGGGCTGAGGGGCCGCGGGGGCATGGGGCGGTGGGGCGGTTGGGGCATTGGGGGCTGCGGGCTGCAAGGCGATGCGGACGCGGGATGGTGAAGCCTGAGGTGGCGAAGTGCGGCCTGATGATTGACATCGGCCACAGCGCGATGCAGGCCGACGGCAGCACGGCGTGCACAGCTGCGGTCGCTCCCCTTCCCCGGCCACGTTCCGGTGCCGCCTGAGACGTCGACTGCCCCCTCATCAACCTACCATGCGACTAAACCACAGGTGATGCTGAAGCAGGACGACGGCGTGTACGCCTGCATCGCGGAGGACGATGTGCGGTACAACCTTGGAGAGGTGAGTCATAACCATGATTGTTACACGCGCGCGCGTAATCTTGGAGGCGCCCCGCAGGGCCGCGGCACACGCCTCGCGGTGGCCGCGTCGGCGGTGCCGTGCCTCCCACGCTTTTCGGCGCCTGCTTTGGTGAACCCCTTTCCCCATCCCAATGCCTTGGAAGTTGCTGCCCACTCACCCCTGGAGACTGACCAGTGTATTGACGCATCAACAACAGAGTTTTCTTCCCACCCTATCAAACCGCTTCTTTTCCCCGGATCCCTCAACCCACAGGTCAAGGAGGAGCTGATGGCGGCTATGGGCCTGAACACGGAGGAGGCCGGCAGCGTGGCCGCGTTCCTGCGGCGCGGCTACAAGACCTCCACCTGGTTTGAGGACGACAGGGCGCTGGAGCAGTCCGGGGAGTGGCGGCTGTGACGGGGCCCGCTCTCGCGCAGCTCTTCATGCCCGAATGAGAGTGGAGCGTAGCGGCGGTTTTGCATTTGGTTGCCTTGGAGTGTGCTTTCTTGCTTTTTGACTGGCCGATGATTTGGCCATTGTTCACTCTCTCTAGAGCCCCGCTGGCTTTGGGGACTTGTGCCTGTGCTGCGCGTGCAGTGCGAGCAGGCCCTGAAAACAGTAAACCAAACAATTTGGCAAGGCAAGGAGCAGTGATGGTTGCAACATGGCGGGGGAGGGGGCGGCGCAGGTTTTCAACATGCGCAGGTATTCAACTTGCCAGATGATAATGCTCGCAGCGCATCCGCCAGCATTGAGCCCCAGCTATCCAAGGAGGTAACCACAGTTCTGTCAGCAGCAGGCGCGGTTCTGCGGCACTGACATGCAGTGCAAGGGGTGAGGGGCGCCTTCGCAACGGCTTGCTTGCAGTGGAGGGTTTTATTAAGTGCCCTGTGTCGCAGCCAGAAACCCTCTGCAATGCGTGTGAAGGGCCCGCAACAGCAACTGCATCTGAGGAGACGTCCACGTCAGCATTACAGGCGGAGCAGGACAGGGCAAGGCGGCAGACACAGAAGACCAGCAGTGTGTTTGATCAGTTGGGTTGACACATGTCAAGCCGGCATCAGAAAGCATACAGCAGGGTGAAGCATGTACAGCCTCATCATTAACGAAAGCAACATGCGCATGGATCAATCAAAGGCCGGGGCAAGCATCGGCTGTGAGAGCATCACGTTGGTGCACAAAAACGCGAGGAGTGCTGCGGTTGCGAGCAACTGGGGGTTGGACAGCCACAACGGCCAACCGACATGAAACGTGCGTTCGATCAAGTGTGCGTGCTGAAACATTGCATCATCATGCCATGTGAGAAGCAGAGCTGCGGCTGCCAGGTGTTGGTGCAGGTCCCTGCTGCGTGAGCTGAGGCGGCCCGGCCCGCCAGCGTTCAAATGCACCGCGACGCCGCAGCCGCTGCGATACATTTTGCTGCAACGGTGGTTGATTCGATCATGCAGCCGCTTGGGGCAGGCCCACTCTGAGGCGCCGCTGCACCCTTGCGTTGTGGGGCGGTGCGCAGGAGGTCGGGCGCGGTGATTGGCCGCCTAGTTGAGGCCGCCGCCGGCACCGCCGACAAGGAAGTATGGCCTGCGATTACGAGGCAGGCGCAGGGCAGGCGTCGGTCAGGGTCCTCAGGGGCAGCCTCCCCCTAGCCGCTGACTCCACCGCGCGCGCCAGAGCCAGCACTCCACGTGCGCTGCGCGGCTCGTGCACGGAATCACACGCGAAAAACAGCGGCCAAATGCAGCCGCCCTGGCCACGGCTCCTCAGCGAGGACGGCAGGGGTATACAGCCGCTGTGTGTCCGCACAGCGAACGCACCTGGTCGTGGGGTAGACTGCATAGTTGGCGTTGATCTGGGCGACCTGGGTGGCGCGGAACGCCGAGTCCGGGGAGTCGGAATTCACCTGGGGCACCATTGATTATGACACGCACGCGCACGTGGCAGGAGGGACAGGCGCAGGTTAGGATGGAGAACAGGTTGACGAGTGGTCGCTGCAGAAGTTGAGGGGACGGAATGCAGGGTGCATGGAGGGCGGCGGCAGCAGCAACGACGCTCGGCGGCCGCGCCGTCTGCGAACGCAGGCCGACACAGCGACGCACCCCGTCCGGCTGTTGGCCGCCGGCCGCGCCCGCCTTCTGCGCGAGCGCGCCGGCGTGCGCGGCCGTCTGCGCGGCCAGATACCCCCGTCGCGCACGGGGCAGGCAGGGTGCTCACCGCGGCCAGCACTGCGTCGTGCGCGTTGTTGGAGGCCAGGCCGTTGAACAGGTCCCCACCCTCGCGGAAGCCGAGCAGCCTGCGGTGGCGGCCTGCCATCTTGCGGGCCGCCGCGGCCATCGACTTGGGCGCCGGGGCCTTGGTCGCAGTGGCAGCGCCCGCCTTGCCGGCGGACGGGGAAAGCACCTTGTCGATCGCATGGACTGTGGAGCTGAGCACGAACTGGTTGGGCGCGACGACGTTCGCGACGTTGCCGGCCGCGTCCTTGACCGTGGCGTGACCGAGCCTGTAGCCGCCCGCCATCTTTTCCTCGGACAGCACGACGGTGAGGTCGGCGCCCTTGAGCAGGGTGGGGACGGGCTTGCCGCTGGTGAAGCCCTTGGGGATGGGGCGGTAGCCCGGGACAGAGTGGTACAACAGGATGGACTTGAGGGTGGCGGGGTCGGCCTTGGCTATGGCGTCCTTGGTCAGGCCTGCGGCCTTGAAGGCGGCGTCCTGTGGGGGGGGGGAGAGGGAGGAGCGCGCACGACGCACGGCGGAGGGGGTTCACAGTGTGCAAAGTGAGCAGGCGGTGGGCGCGTCAGCACAGCTCGATCTCAGCAAGAGAGGATGGGAGTAAAGAGCAGCTGCGTGACTTTTTCAAATCTGTGCCAGCCGCGCACATGCGCAGGGCATGTGCGTGCCAGTCTGGCTGAGTCTGGCCGTGAGCACTGCCCCAGGATTGGTGAGCATGATCAACACTGATCTACCTGGGGAAACTTGCTGCCCACCCCACCCCCATCCTGCACACCGTGGGCACAAAGACGGTGGCGCCATGGGCCTTGAGGTCTTTCTCGATCTGGGCCCTGTCCGCCGCAGCCTCGAAAAGCGTGAAGGGCGACACCATGGACTCGTGGCCGCCAGCACCGGACATTTTGAAGTCCATGTCATCCATGCTTGGGAACACGTTGCCTGCAGGATAGGATGCAAAGGATGAAAGCATCCCATGCGGTGGGGGAGATCACACGCTTGAAAGAGCGACAACATGGGCAAGATTGGAGGGCCATGCTTCAAGTAGCCGATGCGGCTGACGAGGCCGCAAGCCGCGTTTTCGACGGGCAACAGCTGGCTTGATCCCCAGGCTGGGTCGGGCGCCCTGCCAGAAAGTCACAGAAGTGCAAAGCAAGCCCTGTCGCGCCCAGCCAGCGCCCCCGGGAAATGGGCGCCCGGACTGGTTACAGCTGTCACGGCGTATCTGGTGCACGCGCGGCACGTACGCGCGTGACAGCCCGCGCACCAGGCAGCAGCAGCTTGCTGGTGGTGAATACGTTGTGGGCCGAGGTGGGCACGAGCGTCACCTGTGCGGGTGTCAGGGCCAGTTGCGCTGGTGATGGGGGGGATCGAAATGGACACCTATCGATGACAGGGGTTCCAACATCGGCACGAGCAGGTGATGCGTGGCTGCTGCGGTGGGCAGCGTGCGCAGTGCAGCTGCTGGAGGCACGGCGGAATGCAGCCAGCAGGCAGCCCCCACATGCAGGGTGGCGAGCACCAGAAAGGCATTTGACCAGGTGGATTGACTGCCCCCCAGACGCACCACTGCATTGTGGCTGTCATTGGCCGACAGCTTGCCGTCCTTGCTCACTGAAACCGTCAGGTTCCAGGCCGGGTTGGCGGTCGTCACGGTGGCAGAGGCGCCCGGCTTGAGCTTCGACAGGTCACTGGAGGGGAGCAGGGTCTGCGTGGGCAGATCGTGTAGGAGGGGCCGGAGGCGTTTCGCTGGCCGCGCGTGCGTACTAGGAGCGGGGGCAAGTGCAAGCGTGACAGCACAGGCAGCGTACAGTGTACAGTGACTGGGGGGCGTGTGGCGTCCGCCGGCGGCGCTCTGGGATGGATTGCACCCCTGCCGCATGCGCCAGAGGCGCCCGCCTTTGCGACGGATAACAGAACGCGCGTGCGGCTGGGGGCCGCATGCGTGAGCGGACGGGCTTGGGCAGCGGCGGAGGCGACGCGCCATGCCAGGGCGAGGAACGGCAGTGATGCGTGCAGTAAGGGGTGAGAAGCTTCTCACCAGGTAGCCGACGACGCGCTGCGCCAGGGCCTTCCGGTCTTTGAGGGATCCGAGGTCGAGGTTGGACTCCTTGAGCCACGCGTCAACGGCCTGGGGCACCGGGAGGGGAGGGGGAGCACCGGGGGCGGCGTTTTGGTCAACAGTAGTCATTTTGGGTGTTCCCCGGGGGCGCCCGGATAGTGCGGGGGTTTGGACAGGGGCGTCTGAGCCCTCTGGCGCCGCGTTGCCGAGCCGTCAAGGGTATATGTTAATACGGGCATGCTCAAAACGTGGCACACGCCCAAGGCAGCCTCCCGTCGCGGCCGCGGCGCGGCGAGGCACCCGCCGGGCCCAAAGCGCGCTCACGGTATTGGTGGGGGCGAGCAAGACGATCGCCATGCCCATGGCGGGGCTGTTTTTGGAGTACACATCGGCAGCGCCGGCTGCCTTGATGAGCTCGACGAATCTGGTGGCGCCGGCGGCCTTGGCGGCATCGACGACGTCTGCGTGCGGGCCTGGGGAGGGCGCGGGGGCCAGGGGTGCGGGGCCGGGGCGGTCGGGGGCGGCGAACAACCAGCGCGCGTCTTCCTCGGAGTGAAAAAAGACAAAGGTGATGGTCAGTGTTTGAAGCATCAGCAGGCGCGCCGGAGGACCCAGCCGCCCGCGGGCGTCCGGGTGGCCAAAGAACTGTCACTGGCGGGTCAGCCGTGCCTCCGGCAGGTCGGGTGGGGCCCACGGACATGCGCTCAGGAGGCAAGTGTAAGCCTCACACACCTTCAGCTGAGCTTGCTCGCAGCATGAGAGCTGCCATCAGGATCCAGGCCACATTGAAAGATGCCGGGCGGGCCATTCCGATGTCGCGGTTTGTCAAGCACGGGTGGCTGCACGATGCGGAGGCTTCAAGGCAGTCAAAATAGTTTCTATCGTGTATTCAAAATCTCGCGACACCGCTTTATGTCTGTGTCACTGGCCTTCTGGCTGACAAGTGTGACGGGAACTGGTCAGCTGGGGGAGGCGTTGCTGACAGTGGCTCCTCTGCAGGGGCCGCAGCTGGTGGGTCGGTAGCAAGGGGATCCCAGAGCCTCTCTCCTTCCGTGGCAGCAGCCGCTTATCATAACTACCTGCAACCGACGGCCTCGCTGCGTTTTCTCCCTGCCGCCCACCCCATCCCAAAGTCACCGGCCGGGCAGCTCAAGCTGGGAACAGCTGCGGGCGCGGGCGCGAGCCACGGTGGCAGACCAGCAGGTGCTGTCGAGGGAAGCGATCACCCTGGCAGCCATCCCTGTGTGCACAGCCCCGAAGAAGCTCCCCAGCGCCTGGGGAGCCGCTGCAGCAGCGGTAGGTTGGCTTACAGCAGAGCGGCCCAGCCGCTGCTGGGAGGGCGCTCCAAACAAACAACAGCAAGCCTTGCATCAGCGCGTTGGGGGCAAAAGAAAAGGCGCTGCTGGCACTGCGCGGCGCGTCGGTGCGAGGCGAGGGAGGCGCAGCACCCTAGGGGATTGGGAAGAACTCAAATCTGTGGGGCGGGCGGTAGAGCGCACCGACGACGGTCAGTGCGAATGCGGGTCATGGCAGCACCCCTGGGGGGCAGCGATGCGTGGTTGATAACGGGCCCGTATGCGCTGGCGTCACGCGCCCAAAAGTAACTGAGCCATAGCAACTCTGCTCGGCCGTAGGTTTTCTTCCGTGCGGCGCACAAATGGGGCTCGGAGACGCGCCGTGGAGAGGGGCAAGAGGCTGCGAAAGCGAGCGTGCAAGGGGTCATGGGCGCCGCCCTCACGCCGTCGCCGCGACCTGCGGCTGCTGCTGCCCCCCCGCCCCCGCCCCCCGCTCCGCCGCAGCCTCCTTCTGGCTCAGCGCCGCCCACGCCTCGAGCACGCCCGCCGCCTTGCCCGCGCGCTGCGCCTCCTGCGCCATGGCCACCCCCTCCCGCGGGTCCACCGCCACCTCAGCGGCCGCCAGAGCATACCCTGCGTTCAGATTCAGCGCGTCCGCCACCGGTCCGCGGGCGCCGCCAAAGACGTCCCGCAGAATTGCGGCGTTGAGGGCCGCGTCGCCGCCCTTCAGATCCTCTACTGTACAGCGGGGGATGCCGACGTCCTTGGGGTCGAGGCTGTACCTGCGGGGCGGGGCCAAACAAGAGGGACGGGAGTGATCTGACGTCGCCCAGATCGAGCTTGGCGCATGAGCTCATCCGCATACAACGCCAGATCATCCACGGTCGAGAGCATCAAATTTGAACCGGCACGCCATCGGCGGCGACGGGCAGCAGGGCGATGGGGAAGCGGGGTGTGGGGGAGAGGCGCGTCGGCGGCGCCCAAAATCGCCCAAGCCCACAACCGCCAAAGCCGCAACCGCCAAAGCCCACTACTGCCAAAGCCCACAATTGCCAAATGCGCACCTGCGGGGTGCTGCGCCTGCGGTGACCTCCACAACGTCTGCCGGCCCCATGGGTGTGAGCTCGTCGAGGCCCATTGAGTGGACCACCAGCGCCTTCTTCATGCCCAGGCGCTGGGGGGGCGGGTGGGGTGTGGGGTGTGGCGTGTGTCTGTGGGTCAGATTGGTGGCATTTTGATGCCTGTGTGTGTGTGTGTGTGTGTGTACTTTTTCGCGCGTGTGTGTACTCGCGTGTGTATGTCAGTTGCAGACGCGCCATTCGCACGGACTGATACGGTGATGCAGGCTGCCTGCGCGCGAGGGGTGCACTCGACACGAGGACTCGCGGCGCCCGGGGCTCAGGTGTACCGCCCGCGACAAGCACCTGACTCATGAGCTGCCCGATGG